CGGGAGCGCCGCTGCACTCCCAAGCGCCGCACTCTACCGAGTGCGCCACCGGGCCGGCCCCTGAATTTGTTGATCAGTTAACAGGTTTTTGGTTGAATTAATTATTTAGGGTTTTCTGTATATGAGGGTACTTCAGAAAGTTCATGGAAAGATTCATATTATCTTTCAGTTCTATTTTTCCACGAACTTTTTGAAGTACCCTCATATAAGATTATGTCATTAGCACATAGAGACAATTTCACTTCTTCCTTTCCTATTTGGAGGCTTTTTATTTCTGTGGCTTATATTTTATTCTGTTAACAGTTTCTTGCAAATGGCAGAAATTAGTAATTTTGACAAAGTCTAATTTATCACTTTTGTCTTTTATGGATTGTGCATTTGCGATCTAAGAAATCTTTGCTCAAGTCAAGGCCACAAAGATTTTCCTTTGTGTTTTTTTCATGAATTTTTGTAGTTTTAGGTTTTGGCTTTAGATGTATGATATCTTTTTAAAAATTGAAATAGAACTATATTAATGTAGTGTTTCTTTACACCAATAAAGATCTAAAAAAAAAAAGGAAAAGAAATATAACCCGTTCACAATAGGACACACACAAAGGCTAAGGAGTAAATTTAACCAAGGAGGTAAAAGATCTGTTTACTAAAAACTGAAAAACACTGATTTAAAAAAAAAGTTAATATAGTTCTATTTTAATTTTTGTATATGGTACAATGTATGGATATCCAGTCATCCCAGCTTCATTTGTTGAATAGGCTATCCTTACTCCACTGTATTGCTTTTACACCTTTGTGTAAAGTCAGTTGACCATATGTGTGTAGGTCTGTTGCTGGATTCTCAATTTTGTTTTATTGATCTGTTAGTCTTTCCTCATGCTAGTACCATACTATTGATATTTGCAGCTTTGTAATAAAACTTGAAGTTATGTAGCTTAAGGCTTCCAACATTATTGTTCTTTTTCAAAGCTGTTTTTTTTTTTTTTTTCCTTTTGGCTTTTTTCGTGACCGGCAACGGATCGCAACCCTCAGTGTCGCACCCGTACCGGACCGGGACCGGCAACGGGATCGCAACCCTCGGTGTTGCACCCGCACCTCGCTCAGCCAGTGAGCGGGAACCGGTCTGTATGTGGGATCCGAACCCTCGGCGGGAGGGCCGCCGCGCTCCTAAGCGGTGCACTGTAGCAGTGCGCCACCGGGCCGGCCCCTCAAAGCTGTTTTGACTATTCTGGCTCCTTTGCATTTCCATGTAATTTTTAACATCAGCATGTAAATGTCTACAAAAAAGTCTGCTGGGATTTTGATTAGAATTGTATTTAATCTGTTGCTCTAATTGGGGAGAATTCACATGTTAATACCATTGGCTCCACTGCTCTATGAACATAATGTGTCCATCTCTCTATTTGTCTTTGCACATCATTTGATAGTTACTTCATATTTTTATGATTATTCTTTGAACAATTGTTCAATAGGGAAGGAATTGATTTTTGAGTATTGGTCTTATATCCTGCAACCTTCCTAAACTCACTTATTAGTCTTAGTGGTCTTTCTGTTTTCTTAATGTAATTATCAGATTTAGCATAGCCTCTTAATTCATTGTCAGTTTAGAGTTGAAGAAATGTGTAAGCTTATAAGATGTAATATGAGTACTCAACAAGGAGTGATATGCAGCATCCCCAATATTTTGTCTTCATTTTTCTTTTAATGAAATATGAATATTCCTTGTAATATGGAACCTTGACATTTCATGCTACCATTATGTAAATAGTTGAATTTATAAGCAATTTCAGCTAAGTAGTTGATTCTGAGGAAGGTATTGATGTTTTTTTTTATGCGTGGAGAAAAGTCTGTTCAAATTACGTATCTTGGAGGGAGAATCAGTTGCCTTTGTGATGGTTTTGGGGACAAGGGAGAGTTTATGGTAAGGACTGTTTATGTTTATGGCTTGTGCAGTAGCTGAGTGGAGTATGGTGTGATTTACTGAGATGAGGAAGACTTGAGGACGCAGTGGATTTGGGATTATCAGTTCAGCTCAGATATGTTAGATTGTAGGCCTGTTGTTTGCTTACTGTGTTAAGTGTTTATATGTTTATTTGGATGCTTGTAAATGAAGAAATATATGTTAGGTTAAAAACAGTCCTGACGTTTCACAGCTAGTCATTTGTAGAATTAGAACTCAAATCTAGGACCTTCTGACTCCAAAGCCCATGTTTAATTACTTATGCCATGTTATATCATCAAGGCAGGAAAACATGCTTGGCCTTAACAGTAATAAAATGTTCCCTGCGAGCTGTTGTAAATAGATAGAAGAGTTTGCAAGCTCAGATGCCTGTGGGGTCCAGACAGGTAAATGTGAGCCAGGTTGCAAAATAAGAGTGGCGACATCTGTAGAGAACTGCATAGCCCATGCCCCATCTAAAGGTTTAGCTGCTAATCAGCTCTAACAGATTGTTACTATGCGGGAATATGGTCCCAGTATTGCCATATATTCTGATTTTTCAAGTGAGGTCAGGAGTCTGGATTTTCATACAAAGTGTTCTGATTAATAAATGTAGGCAGCTGTCTTTTAACACACTGTGTAGGCCAACCTTGTATGGGTCCACCAAAGGTAATCTGTTTGCTGGATTCTCAATAGGCAGCCTTTGGCAGAGTTATACCTGATATACTGTGGAAGCAATAATAAATTTATTGATGGGAAAGGGGTAGTAACTATGTATACAAGTACTTCAAAAGTTCATGGAAAAATAGAATTGAAAGATAATATGAATCTTTTCCATGGACTTTTTGAAGTACTCTTGTACAAGGAGCCCATTAAGGGTGCTGAAATGCAGGTTGCTTAGTTTAAACATGGTGCTTAGTGAGTTTAGTGTTTGAGTTCAGTTTTCATATGGATCAGTTAATTATAGGTGGGGGAGGGGAGTATTGCTCCTTGCAGCTTTTTGCCTCCTAATTGCATGCTTCTTTCATTCACAGATAGGGCCAGTTTTGAATGTGCAGATTTTGGAGTGAAACCTTGAACCCAAATGAGAAGAAACCTTAAAGGAACAACTTCTACTGACTGAGTCTGCAGAGTCAGCTTTATGCATAGTATGGAATGTTCTCAACTCAGAGATAACTGAATGGTTGGCTCATTGACGAGGAGTGGTAAGTCTGACTATCCCTAAATTTTTTCCACAAAAAGGGGACTATTTCTCCTACATACTTAGCATTTACTGATGAATAGTAAGTTAATTTTTGTATTACAGAGGACGACAGCTCCGTTTAGAGAGTTCTTTATCCCTTGTAGCATGTGTAACGTATGAGTTCAGAGTTCAACTTTCCTCCTCCAGTTAGGCACATCCCTTCCTTTGCTATTTCCTGTTTTTCTGTTTTATTTCTTCTACAGTTCCAAGTTCTGAAATATTGTTCTTGAAATATTCAGCCAGCACTGAAGTGATGGTCATGATAGTTACCAGCATTCTAATATTGATTGTGGTAGGTCTCATTTGTTTTGGAGGTGATTGTTTTAGGAGTGGACATGAGAGCCAGTTTTGGCCAATGGGAGATAAAAGGGAAGTGTGCAAGAGGCTTCCAGGGGGGCGGGCCGGCCCGGTGGCGCACTGCGATGGTGCGCCGCTTGGGAAGCGTGGCGGCGCTCCCGCCGAGGGTTCGGATCCCACATACAGACCGGTTCCCGCTCACTGGCTGAGCGAGG